CAAATGCGGGTAATCTGCCGGCTCTGCCGCGCCGAACGAACCCACGGCAGCTGCTCTCATGCTGCCTGCAGCTCTGGAGCAGTCGTTTCCCACTAAAAACCCTTCCCCCCCCCCCCCCACCCCCCCCCCCCCCCCCCCTTCCCCTTTTTCGCAAACATCTCCTCTTTTTTCACACGGTGAAGGGACCAGGCACCCCTTAGGGATGAGATGAATTTATTCGATATTTGGCAGGTGACAGGACATGGCTTCCAGTTTACAGGTTTCTGCTAGAGACGCCCCCCGCGCTCCCAGCGTCGGCTCCGGCGCGGGTTTGCCAGCCGCTCCCAAGGGATGCTGCTCCCGCTCGCTCCGGTGCCCGCGCTCACGCGGTGCCAGGAACGGGGAGGGGGGGGGGTCTCCCCTCTCCTGGTGTTACCCCCCCAGCACCGCGGCACCGGCTGGGAATGCCAACGTGGGGACATGGCTCTGTCCACGTGACTTTCCCATGAGGCGACTTTTTTGGGTGGCGTTCTGCTTTTTCGTTCAGGCGGGTGCTGCCTCAGGGAAACCCCAAAGTTTCACTGCGATGTGAATCTGATGGTGGGAGAAGGTGCCGTGAGCCCCACGGCTCTGCCCCAGCCCCTGCTCAGCCCAAGCGGGAATTAAAAAGGGGCTTAATTACAGCCGGCGTGGCTACACTTGGGTGCCGGCGTGGCACCCCATCCCCGGGGAGCGGAGCAGTGTCCCAGGAAAAGCGGGGCGACCCGGGCGAGGTGCCGCTCCCGGCGGTTTTGCTCAGGGTCGGCGAGGGAATTCCAGCAGAGACGGGGGCAAAGCCACCGCAGAGCAACCAGCAACTGCTCCCCTACGGCCCGTCCCAACGCCTCGTCCCCAGGATTCAGCGGCGAAGCCCGTCACCGTGGCCTCTGCCCTGCCCAGCTCCGGCTCTTTGCCGGTGACCCCCCTCCCCAGCTCCTGACAAAAACTGACCGTCCGGCTGCATAAAATAAACCCCTGAATTTGAAGGAACTTTATCTGTGGTTATTTCTCTCTTAGTGGCAGCCTCGGGGGCGTGGGCAGACGGGCACCCGATCTCCCGGCGGCAGCACCGGCACGCGCCGCGCTGCCTGCGGTGCCTGCGGGCACACGCACACGCTCGCACCCATGTGCACACGCGCAGGCACGCATGTGCACACCCGCACACGTGCACACCCGCCCGGCTCCGGCGCCGGGAGCTCTGCGGTGGCGGATTTCCCCCGGGTGCCCACGGCCTCGGGGCCTGGCACACGCCGGGGCCGGGGTGCACTAACGCCGGGGCAGGACATATTTTTTTATTAAATCCTGGCCTGAACTGCTCCTCCCGGGGGGGGGGGGTTAAGGCGATTATTCCAAAGGCAAACAATAGTTCCTAAGCAGGTTTCAAAGTTCACCATAAGCAAGCCGGGGTGGTTTGTCCCTTACACGGTGTCCCAGCACGTCACCGGCGGAGGTGCCGGGTGTTACTGGGGTGCAAAATGATCCCGGGCATCCTGCCCGGTACAGGAACCCCCTCGGCCACCACAGCACAGCCCAGACCTCATCCTGGTGCCTCCCCGGGACCAGCCTGTGCCCCAAGGCCTGCCCGCAGCCCACGCTGCTCCCCCCAGTGCCAGACCGGTGCCTCGGGCAGCGGCACGGCGAGGGCTGACCCGGGGGCACCGGCACCGCCTGCACCGGTTGGGCTTCACCGACAGGGTCTGGGGGGCGGCGGTGACCTCCCTAAATGACACCCTGGGGTGACACATCACGACAGGCCACCGCTGAGCCCACTAACCACGCTCTCCTCGGCATCACCGCAGCGGGAGGCTGGGGGGACCCTGCGGCTTCGTTCCCGGCACCCCCGAGCGATGGCGGGGTGACCAGGACAAGTGCAATTAAGCTCAGGCCTCGGTGATCCGGTGCATGGACCCGGCTCACAGCTCCCCCCCGTTCCCCGTCCCTCCCAGTGCCTGGTTGCTCTTGCTGGGGACAGGGTGCACGTTCCCGGAGCCGTGCCGGCAGGACCGCGGCCGACCCAGGACCCTTTCGATCGGGGAGGGGGACACGCGACACTGATTCCTCCCGCCCCGGCGACGGCTCGTCGGGCGAACGCCGTCCTCCCGGCAGCAGCCAGCACCAACCTGCAGCCCCGGCCTTGCAAGAATTAAAAACCTCTGCTAAAACGCTTTGCTGGCTAAAACCAACGGCCCCGTGGGTGAGGTAGCGCGGGGCCGCGGCACGCGGGGTCACAGCGCGCCCCATGCCTGCCCGGCCACCACACCTCCCGCTGCCGACGGCCCCCACCACCCCGGCAGGTCCCACCAGGCAGACGTTCCTATTTTCGGTGCTCGAGCCCAGCCGAAGCTGCTGCGGGCCCCGATTCAGCAAATCCAGCCGAAAAAACGGGCGCGGAACCTTCCCCATCCCCGCGAGCGCGCTCCGTTTGGCAGGCTAAAGCTAACACGCTGCACCAGGTTATCATCACTTTCCTTTCCTTCTTGACAGCTCATTCACAATATTTATATTCCGCTAAATCTGTGGCCACCGCGTATGTTTATTTTCTCTCTCCCCAAGGGCTGTAGGTACCCAACGAGCACTTTCCGCCGGGCACCGAGGCCACGTATCGGTTCAGACAGGAAGAGAAGCTGAGGGCTGGTTTCAGGGTTTATCACTCCTCTCCATTCATCACCCTTGATAAATATTTATAGATGCATTAGGGCACTCAGCTCCTTCCACTAAAAATAACATTCCTAAGCACCAAGGGGAAAAAAAAAAAAAATAAAAAAAATCACCAGTGATTGGAACTGATTATAATGTTTTCTAAGCAGCTACGGAAGCAAAGCCTAGCAAGGACCACAGCGTGGTGAGCTGCCAGCCTCAGACTACACGACTCGGTTATTTCTCTTAATTTTAAACAAAACCGAACTCGACTCCTGAAAATGAACGCGGGGACGCTAATCAGAGCCTAGCAAGGGTCCTCCCGGAGTCCCCACCTGCAAAAGCACGTTCTTTATCAGCCTGAAGAGAAGCAGAGGCCCCTCGCTGCCGGTGCTGCTCCCCCAGCTCGGCAGCCCCCACCCGCGGCGTGCCCGGCCGCTGGCTCCCCGGATCGACGCGCGGCGTCACGCGGTATTTTCAGAAGTTAGGTTTTTGGTTTGGTTTGGTTTTGTTTTTTTTTTTTTTTTTTTTTTTGAAGGCAGAATCCCCATCGTGTCGCGCGCGAGGGACCCCGGAGGCTCTGCCCCCCGTTTTCTCATGCACACCGAGGGGCAGAAGTGAAGAAGAAATAACCGGCGTGTGACGCGATGATGACACCGTTTTGGGAGGAAATCAAAAAAGATCAGTCCACTTAGCGGGAGCGGGGAGCATTAGCTTTCCTTGCTGCTTTTTTAAACCTCCCATAAATCGCTGAGTTAGATGGGGCGTTGTCTGATCGTCGTTAGCAAACACATGGAGGAAAACAGCACATGCAATGACCTAAGGGGCGAGTGCCCCCGGGGAAAGCCCTCGGGGTGGTTCGGAGAAAGCCGCTTTCGTCAGCAGGTGGTTGAGATCGGTCGCAGTCGCACGATGGAGGATGTGTCGGCTGAATCGCTCCTCTTCCGAAGGGTGGGGAGACGTCTCCTGATCCGCAGGCGTAACCCCCCGCGCCTGCGGCATCAGAAACACACGAGGCGGCGTCAGCGCCCGCAGGGAGACCCCGAATCTCCACCGGGTCGGGGATCAGCCCCAGCCCGAATCTCCACCGGGTCGGGGATCAGCCCCGGCCCGAATCTCCACCGGGTCGGGGATCAGCCCCGGCCCGAATCTCCACCGGGTCGGGATCAGCCCCGGTCTGAATCTCCACCGGGTCGGGATCAGCCCCGGCCCGAATCTCCACCGGGTCAGGGATCAGCCCCAGCCCGAATCTCCACCGGGTCAGGGATCAGCCCCGGTCTGAATCTCCACCGGGTCGGGGATCAGCCCCGGTCTGAATCTCCACCGGGTCGGGGATCAGCCCCAGCCCGAATCTCCACCGGGTCGGGGATCAGCCCCGGTCTGAATCTCCACCGGGTCGGGAATCAGCCCCGGCCCGAATCTCCACCGGGTCGGGAATCAGCCCCGGTCTGAATCTCCACCGGGTTGGGGATCAGCCCCGGTCTGAATCTCCACCGGGTCGGGGATCAGCCCCAGCCCGAATCTCCACGGGGTCGGGGATCAGCCCCGGTCTGAATCTCCACCGGGTCGGGGATCAGCCCCAGCCCGAATCTCCACGGGGTCGGGGATCAGCCCCGGTCTGAATCTCCACCAGGTCGGGGATCAGCCCCGGTCTGAATCTCCACCGGGTCGGGGATCAGCCCCGGCCCAAATCTCCACCGGGTCAGGGATCAGCCCCGGTCTGAATCTCCACCGGGTCGGGGATCAGCCCCGGTCTGAATCTCCACCGGGTCGGGGATCAGCCCCGGTCTGAATCTCCACGGGGTCGGGATCAGCCCCGGTCTGAATCTCCACGGGGTCGGGGATCAGCCCCGGCGCGGGGCCGGGCTCCGCTCCCGGGACCTCCCGAACCTTCCGGCTGGGGCTCCGCACCCCCGGGGCCATCCCGGCCAAGCTCGGAGCAGACCCAACGTGCGGCGCCCGCCACGACCGTCGACTGTCCTGCTGGCCCCGGGGCTCCCCACCTTGGAGCTGACAGCCCGGGCAACAGAGGGAACCCGAGCCGGCGGCATCGGGACCAGGGTGCTGCCGCAGGTGCCCACGAGCTGACTCTGCAAGCCGAGGCGAGGTTGGTGCTGGGCGTGCCCCCCCCCCGGAATGGCCATTTCGGCTAACAGAAAGCCCCCAGTGGTCCTGCCCATCCCAGCCCCTCCGTCACCGGCAGGCAGCCGGAGCCACCAGCACCAGCACCAGCACCACCAGCACCACCAGCACCACCAGCACCACCAGCACGGCTCAGGAGGACCCACCACAGGTCCTGGCGCCACGAACGGGAACGCGAGGGACTTGAAGAAGAACCAGCGCAGTTTAAAGGAATTTCTTTCATTCTTTCTGGGGGATAAAGGAACCCGAAAGTAGTCTCTCTTATTTTTTTCAACCGTCTCTAATGCAGCGCTTGTCAGCGCCGGTCCTTGGGGGCGTTGGGGGCACTGCTGGGCTCTCGGGGAACGGGGAGCTTCTCGTCTCCACATCAGTGGCTAAGGGGTGACCAGGGTCAAAGCCATCCTTTTCTCCAAAGCCATTAGAGTTAAAGGGACGTTAAGAAAAAGCCACACACAGCAGTATAAACAGCTCTGCATTGCTGGCTTCCTCTCTAATGGTATAATTTCACTCCTTCTTGAGTTACTAGATTGTTTCCCAGATGAGGCAGGACTTGAATTTCTAATGTAAAAACTATCAGAAAAACTCTCAAGCCGCTTTCGGGTTATCTCTACCCACCGCTAAAATGGCAGGGAGGCAGAAAGGGCAAAACGCCTTTCTTTCTCCTTTGCAAACTACCTCTAGAGGACAGCGGCGGCGGTTTTATCATGCAAAACTGCGTTTCGGATCCATCACGACCAATTCACCTGGCCTGCTACCACCACGGGCTGGGCCTGAACTGGGAAGTTCCGGACCAAAGACTTTCTCCTGGTTGGTTTTTACAACCAACCGACCTGCAGCGCGAAGGAAAAGGTCCCAGAAGGAAAAGCTCACCTACTCGGGCAGGCCCCATCCCCTCCTGGCCCGTTAGGAGTGCGTCCACATGAGGTTTTTCTGCCTCGAGAACCCTCCTTCTTCCCACTGGGAATGGTGAAAGGTGGGCATTGTGGCTACGGCGAATTTCCAGTGACCGTGGGGAGGGGGCGGGGGGCACGTGGAAACCCGATCGGGCGCCCTCCTACCAGCTTTTCAGATGGGGAAGATAAGGATCTTATTCAGGTCCGCCGGAGGCATTGTCACCTCGGGGCTCGGGCTTTCTCCCTTACCACTATCTCGTGCTCTCCAACCACCTGTTTGTCTATCCATCTGCTGTGCCTTATTATAACTTAAAGCGCAGGCTCTTTGAGGGTAGAGATTGTATTTTTAGTACATCTGGATAGTGTCCATCACAATAGGGTCCTATTTCCTGGCTGAGGCCTCTCAGGATAGAAGCAATACTAATAAAATAGGAGATAATGCTGTTCTCACTGAAGTTAATGACATTTTCCCACTGTCCGCGGCAGGAGCAGAATTGGGTCTTAACAAGAAAAAAACCTCAACGTCCTTTTGAACGGTTGCGGCGCGCTGGGCGGGCGGGGAACCTTCCTGGTGCAGAAATGGGAGAGAAAGGACTAGGGCAGGAGGTGAGCGGGGACTCGGTCCCGTGCACTGCGACGGCACGTACAGAGCCGTGCTGCTGGAGACGGGGAGGGAAAAATAAATCCATCCTTACCTGAATTACTGTACAGCCTGCGGTCGTCTAACCTGCAACACAGGGCAAAAGGCACGTTTAGAAAGTAGGTAATTTCGTTTCCTGCCAGATGAAAAAAAAAATAAAAATCTACCCTCCCCATCTCTTTATGCTCTGGTGGGTAACGCTTCCCGGGACTGCAAACAGCTTTCCAGGCACCGGGATAAACGGCAAGTCCTCTGAAATACAAGGCAGGTAGGAAAGTGCTCCTGATCTTACCAAATCCCAGAAATCCCAGCACTGCTGAGGGGGGGGGGGGACCGCAGGGGATCACCCCATCCAGGCCCCCCCCTCCAGGCAGGGTCAGCCACCGCAGGACCTCGTCCCATCAGATGTTGAGTATCTCCGAGGGGGAAACCCCACAACCCCTCTGGGCAACCTGTGCCAGGGTCTGACCAGCCTCATGGCAAAAAAGTAATTTTTATGTTCCAACAGAATTTCCCGCATTTCAGGGTGCGCCCCTCGGCTCTTGCCTTTTCACCGGGCACCACTGAGGAGACTCTGGCTCAGTTCAGTTTTTTTTCCAGCAGTCATTTAGACACATGGATTTGGTCCTGGCTCGCTCCACCCCTCCTCACGAGGCAGACCCTCCAGCGCTGTAATCAGCGCCACGGCCCTTCCCTGGGCTCTCTCCACTCTGCCCACGTGCCTCGTCCTGGGGAGCCCAGCGCGGGACCCAGCACGCCGGGGGTGCTGAGCAGGGGGAAGGATCCCACCCCCTGACTGGCAGTGCGAAACCGGTCGCCTCCGTTGCACGAGGGCACATGGCTCACGGTCAGCCCGGTGCCCACCGGGACCCCCGGGCTCTTCCCCGCCAAGCCACGCGCGGGTGGTCTCCGGCCTGTGCCGGGGCCTGGGGTCGTCCCCAGGACTTGGCTCTTCTCCCTGTTGAACTGCAGGAGGTTCCTGCCGGGCCACTTCTCCAGCCTGGTGAGGTCCCCCTGGATGGGCCGCCCGGCCCCTCGGGGCGCGACCACTCCTCCCAGTCTGGCATCATCCGCAAACCTGCCGAGGACGGACTCCGTCCTGTCCTCCAGGAACCGAGGGCGCGGGGACTACGGTTCTGGTCACTATGGGCTGGTGCATTTTCAGATTGGACATTTTTGCCTCCTTATGGAGCCGCAAACCGTGCCCTTTCTTCCAGCAGTCTGACAGGGCGGCTCACAGCTCTGTAGTCCCCTTTCCAGTTGGTTTGGGGGGGGGGGTGTTTCTGAAATCCCAACGGCCAATACGCTCAGGGAGAGTCGCGTTTCTGGGGGTGTTGTCATGGGTTCACCTCCTGGTCCCCAAGAGGCCCCCGCTGTCCTGGAGAAGAGGCAGCAGGACCACGGAAAGGGTGACTGCGGGGCAGCCCTGGCCCAGGCGTCCGACCCGGAACCACGCCTGGCGCACGTGCAGCGGTCGGACGCGCAACGCCGGGTTTGGGGAGCAGGGGAGCGCCCAGAGCGCGCCGAGGCCGGCCGAACCGCCGCGGGGTGACGTCTGATGGGACTGGGTGGACGTGACTTTGCCAGCTCCCGACTGCGCTCTTCTGTGCCTGGAAACCCGTGCAGGCATCTTCTCTGGAGATGCTGCTTAATTTGTAATCCTAACCACAAAAGACGCAGCCAACTTGGAGTCTTCCCGAATGATTTCATCCTGCTAAAGCCGCGCCACGCCGCTGCTATATCAAGCGCAGGAACGTAAGTCTCTCCAGCGGGGGAGCGAGTTCTGAGGTTGATTAATTGGGACGCAGAGAAATACGAGAGAACTTTTTGCGCAGAACCTTGCGCGGAAGCCCAAGGGTGACGCCGTCCCCAGGAAACACATCGCAGCAGAGTCCCCTCGGGGACCGGCGTCTCCCTTGCCTGCGCCAGTGCAGGAGTTGGGGGAATGCACGAGCCCCAAGTGGTTTTATTTCATGTCCGTCTTGCCCGCTCAGGGCGGGAGGAAGCAACGGGGGAGCTCTGCCGAGACGGGGACGCGCGCAGCGTCACCGTGCCAAGACCGGAGTCGGGGCAGGCAGAGCTCGGCGCGGGTGCGGGGTCCGTACGGCAGCGTCCGTGTCCCCCCCCCCCCCCGGGGGCCATGGGGCAGAGAACGGGCGCTTTCGTCACACCCGCAGCCCCCCCAAAGCCCGCGGCCTGACGCCCCGTCGCCACGCGTGCTTCGGCGTCTGGAGCCGCTCCCACAGCGCGCACGCTCCGCGTGAGGACTGCAGCTTACGGATTGATCGTCCCCTGATTTTTCTGCCAGATTTTTATCTCACTAACTTTGTGACATTAAGAAATCGCTTACTCTCTGGCAGAGATAATATTTACATTCCACACAAAGGCTGTTGGACCAAGTTCTGCTTTTGGTTACACGTCTCAGTCCCCGTTCCGCCCCCCCCCCCCGACTTCAATGCTGCTGCAATGAGTAACAGCTGAATTTGTCTTACTACGTCTCTGCTACCATACATCATATTTCAACTCTTCAAAATCCCCCTTTCCCTATTTCCCATGCAAGATACAATGCACATTTGGAAAGAAGCAGAAGGGACATCTGCTAAGCATCTAAAATATTTAACTGAAGAGGAATGTTCTAGGGCAAGGAGGGTCCTGTGATTTAGAGCCAACGCGATTCTGCTTTGAAAACTCTTGCTTTAGCTAGTATCAAACCTACTGAACTTTTTCCTACAAACTGATTATGTTTAATACTGATGGACAAGCCATCAGGAAGCAGAGCATTTCCAAACACCTGAATGCTTCGCAGAACTCGCCGGGCAGGAAAACTCAGGAAAACGAGCTCTTTTGGGGAGAAACGTGAGCCGTGCCACTTCAGCTTAGCCAGAAGGAAAACGCGTGCTCAACAAAAAAAAAAAGGATAAAAAGTTCCCGTTTGTTGATGCTGAAATTAGGTTTGGCTCAAGTGAGACAAATGCTTGGGCTGATTCAAACCTGCCCAAGTCTGTTTCTCGTGCGTCGGTCGGAAGCTCAGACAGCAGAAGTCGGGGGGCCCCTGCGCACGGTCCCGTCCCGGGGCGGGTCTGGGAGGTGCCTCGGTGCCCGCCGAGCCGCTCTCCCCGGCCCCGCCGCCCCGGCGCACGGCCACGATCCCTTCCAGCCCCGGGGGTGGCTCTGCTCGCCCGCGGCGAGGGTCCCCTCGCACCAAAGGAAGACGTGGTCTGGGGAGGAGCAGCACGTGGAGCTGCGATCCGGGGAGCCCCCCCGCCGCCCCCCCGTGCTGCGGCGTTCAGCCGGCGGCACTGCCTACACGGGAGCACCGTCAGCGCAGTAGTCCTGAACATTTGTCCAGCCGGGGGCACAGGAGGCAGGGGCTCAGCAGATGACGGTCCCACCGCTCAGGAACTTCACGGGGAACCAGCCCACGCTTTGTTTTTTTTTTCTAGTATATTCATCTGCACTGGATTTCTCACAGCACTCAGAGCGGCTCCTCCTCCTCCTCTTACACATTGCTGTGCGTGACCTTTGCTGGAAGAAAAACATTCTTGAGAGCTGACTACACACGCTGAAGGAACCCTGGCCACGACGTCATCTGAAGCCACGGCAGATGTTGGGGAGAGCGACCCGGCAGCGCGGCGATGGCCCGAGCGGGCAGGCAGCCGTGCCTGCGGGTGCCGGAACAGTGGCCGCAGGACACGGGCTGCTTCCACCCGGAGCCGCCCGCGCTCGGAGCCCTCTCCTGGGGCTCCAAACGGAGCTCCTGCCGAGGAGCAGGTCAGAAAACGCTTTGCAGCTTGATTGTCCGCAGATAATCAGCAGATCACCGTTTGTGCCCTTACCTTGGTCCTTTCCGTTCTGCATTTTTTCTGCTGCTTCTTCTTCTTCTTCCTCTGCTTCAAAAAAAAAAAAACAGAAAGAAAAAAAAAAACAAAAACAAAAACAAAACAGACGTGAGACAGGTAGGTGAGAGAAGAGATGCCTGGGGAACTTTTCTGTGGCAAGGGAACTGGCTCCTCAGGCACAGCCGACACTGGCGGGGAAGGAGGACGAGCGTTCAGGCTCCCAAGGATGGAACCATCATCCTCCTCCCTGCGGCCCGGTGCCCGTTCACTGCCCGTGGCAAAACCACCCCCACTCCATCCCGGCTGGCTGGGGGCAGCGACTACACCGTGCAGAAGAGTGGACTACCAGTGGGCTACTAGTGGGCTACTACTACCTGGCCCAGGCAGTGCTGGGACCAAGGTCCCTCGTGACTGTCACACCCTAAGAAACAAAGAACCGCGCAATGTGCGCAGCAGGAAGGCAGTCACGACTTTGAGGCTGAGCTCAAATCCGAGGAAGCAAAATGAAAATGGTTTCTGGTGAGGGTCCCTCCTGGCGCTGCAGGGTTTGCCCTCGCAAAGTGTTCGGTGCCGCCGGTGCTGACGGTGGGGCGAAACTCTCTGTGCCCCCAGGGCCAGGCCCTCTTTTACGTCTGAGAGCTGGTGGCTTGTTATATTTAACTGCAGTTGAGTCCAAGAGAGTTTATGGCCAAGCTCGTATTTATGCAGCAGAGGGTGGGAGCAGAAGGTCACATTCTTCTGCAGAGATGGTGGCTCATATCTCTCTGTGCAACATTTCAATGAGACCTGTGTAAACAGGTAACGGTTATTATGAGCAGCGATACCACTTCTGCCTGCTTCACGTGCTGCTGAGAGCAAAGAAAGGGAGAAAACCCTGCAATTAAAGGCACAATTTGAAAAACCGAAGCATTTTGAATCGATCTGACCAAAGGGGGATCTTATAAACGTTTGCTCTCTTTGTTGCTTTGACAGCAGGACCGATGAGACATCTGGGAGTCACACGGCCTCTGCCGACTCGGCAGTGGCTACCGAGGAGCCCGCAAGGCGAGCGCAGAAGGGATCACCGGCCAGCCCAAGCGCAGTTTTTAATAACAGGAGACGTGACCTGGAGCTCAGCAGCCGCTTTGGGTCCCGAACCCGCCGCCTGCTCGGCGGCTTTGCAGGGCAGGGGCTGAGCCCCCTCCGGCGGCATCACGCCCGGCACCGTGCGCTCCCCTGCAGCTCAGCTGGAGCGAAACTGGTGCCAGTGTTCCCGTGGCAGCGCCAGGAGAACAGGACTGCCAGCTCAGGGGGAGGGGGACGGCCAGAGCGTCGCTGGGAGCCCCCCCAGGACGGGGTAACCCCGAGCAGCGCTCCCTTTCCAAAAGGATCCGCTCGCTGAGCTCGTGCGCAGGTACGGAGAGGCAAACGGAGGAGTGGGTGGTGCACGGCACCAGTGTCTCACAAAATGCTGAAAACACAATGCCTGCAGCTATATCGGGCGAGCCTGGGGCTGGAGGAGGTGTCTATTCTCACAGCTTACCTCCGGGACAATATGTGTTAAATCCCACCGACTCTCATCAGCTGAGGATAACTCATGCTTTTCCTAATTTACACAAATGAAATGATTTCAGATACTTTCAAGGGAGCCTGCTTTAGTATCTGCATATCCTCAAGTAGGAGACTGTAATTAATTCCATTTTCACTCCCTTGTGAACCGTAACTGCTTTGCACAACCCCTGACAAGCCTGAAAGGGCTGTCAGTAGCGCAAACCCGGGCTGTTTGCATTTGCCAAGCTCCCGGGGATCGCAGGGGAGGGCAGGAGAGCCGCGGGCCCAGCCGACGCTTCGGCCCCCCGCCGCCCCGGCCCAGAGCCCCAGCTCCACCAAACCTCTGCAAATGAGCCCTGCTATTAAAAGCAAAAAAAAAAAAAAACCCGAATTACTGCAGACATCTGTTTTGGGCAGAGGGTTTGTTCACCAGGTTTCAGCCTAGAGGGAAGAGAGGTGCGCGTCTTGAGCACGGTGATTTATCGAAGAAACCCACGGCCCTTCACTGCAACGGCACCAGCGATGCTCTGTCATACATGAAAGACTTTATTAACTCACAGCTGCCTTTGCAGCCAAGACACGGGGCTTAGACTGGGTGAATTTACTGCTGAGCAGTAAAATATCAACCCGCTTTATAACTGCAAGTTCCCCATTAAGGGCAGCGGGAACAAAAGGCCTAACTGGTTTTAACATGGAGTTTGATAAGTTTATGGGGGGGATTATGTGATGCAACTACCGGATACAGCAAAGGGCTGGGGGAGGCGTGAAACAGAAACCGTGAGGTTCACTCTGAACACAGAATGCTTTATTTCTTCCTTAAAAGAGAAGGCAGCCCACAAACAAGCTGCTGGAATCCTAAACGACTGTATACTCCACTGCTGACAAAGCTCGAGGGTCACGGGACGAGTCCCTGGATGACAGCAGAAGCTGCTCCGGTCCCATCAGGGTGTTTACCTCCACTGGCACAGTAAAAAGGCACGAAGGGAATAATTATCTTTTTTTTTCCACATCGCTGTTTAATCCTTTGTTTGGCCTGGCGTACATTTGCTATGCCCTTGCAGAGGAGGCTCACCTGCTGCTCAAGCACCGCCGTCACTAAGCAATGCTTTGCGGAGGCTCGCTTGCAAATCTACCCCCAGCTTCCGAAGGGGCCCTGACTCCCAGAAGTGGGGCTGGGAAGCGGCATTTCTGCCCGGTGAGGGGCCCAGGACGCGCCTGCGGGGCACTCTGGACAAGCTGCTTAGTGCTGCTGCGAACGCGCGGATCGATAGGAGCCGGGCGTGCGTCTGCTTCGTGACTCACCGGCGGCGCTCCCGCCCAGGTTTGCAGAGTCTTGCCTCAACTCCCGGTGGTGACATCAACGGCAAGCCTGTTAGGAAGGTCTTTGGCGTCCTCGGCGATGTTAGCCATAAAAATTATTTTTCATTTTACCGCTGAGCGAATGAACGCATCATCTCGCATTCCGCTTTAAACACTTTTTATAAGGACCAAAGACAAATCTCCAACGTGTGGCTCCGAGCTCTCCCCCTCCTGCCGCGCGCGCGTGCCGCCGGGTTAACTCCTACCTGAGTGAAGCTCCTTCACCAGCGATGACATGGTGTTGGTGATGGAGTCGGCGGCCACCAGCAGGTCGTTGCGGAGGTTCCTCCTGGTACCTGGGAGCAGAGCGGACACACAGAACAGCGGGAATCGCGCCTGCCGCGCTGCCCAACCTCCTCGCGCCCCGCCGCTCGCCCACGCAGCCCTCCCCGCTCCCCAGCGGGGTCCCCCCGCCCCGGGATGGAGCGGGGCCCCCCCCCCCCCCAAGGGCAGCCCGGCTTCGCGAGAGGTGGTGGTTTGCTCTGGAACAGCCCAGCTCCTGCTTGGCTGCCTGATTGCCTGCTCGGCTAATTTAGCCAGCGCACGGCTCTTCTCCTCGCCGAGGGCAGGTGCTTCCCTCCCCGGGGCAGGAGCCGCCGCTCAGCCGCGCTCTCTGTGCAGGGCCGCCCTCGCTGCCGGCTTCTCTGCTGCGATCGATGTCGCCGAGGTTCGAGGGGAAGAAGAGATAACGGAATCCTCCTCTCCTGGTGCTGCACGGGAGGAAGCAATCCTCCTCCTCGGGGTGCCCCGCAGCCGGGGGCCGCGCCACCTCGCCGTCACCCGCCGTGACGCTGCCCGGTCCCGGCCCCGCTCGCCCCGTCGGCGCCGGGAACGCCCGCCACGGCTCCGCAGGAGCGACCGGCGCCGGCGAGGGGCCGCGGCGGAACCGCCGGCCTGGCTGGTGCCCGCCAAAGGGGTGAGCGAGGGCAGCAGGAGCTGCCGCGCGGCGGGGCGAGGCGCACTGACCCTCGGCGGGGCTGGGAAGGTGATGATTCTTCCTCGCCGTCTATCCCGGTTCCCCGCGCCGGTCCCCGCCGGCCGAGCCAGCCGTATCCCCGGGGCAGAGCATCCTGCTGACCGCAGCCCCATTTTGCAGCACCCCAGCTCCCCGTTGCCACCCAAACCCCCTTTCCCCCGGCAACTTTTTGCGCTGCGGGGTTTGGGGGTTTATTCGCAGGCTTTGAGGGCGGGGCGTGTGTCACGTTTTCTGCCCCGCTCTGTAGCTGCAGTTTCTCAGCTCGCGGAGCCGATGGCCCCAGCTGAGGCTTTGCTGGGAGCGGGTCCCCGCAGCGGTTCGCTGGCCCCACCTCGGCCGTCCCCGTGCCGCGGCTGCTCACCGAAAGCCGTTTTCGGCGGTCTGTCGTCCCACAGAGGCCCCGGATGCCCGCACCGGCGCAGGCTCCCCGCCGCCCCGCTTGGATGCCGGGTGTCCGACGGCGCTCCCAGAGCTCGGCGCCCGGGACCCCGTCCCTCCATCCACGCCAGCACGAAGGCAACACGCGGGGAATCGCCCGGGACATCCGATGGGACGTTTCGCAGCTGTGCCGAACGGCGGCAACGACAGCTGTGCGTCACACGTCGACTTTTGCTTGAAGCCGGGCGCCTCTCTCGTTCCGGACGTGCTGCTTTAATCTCCCAAGTGCTGGGCTGGCTTCTACCCCGTCCTCGGCTGGGCTGCTGTCAGAGCACCAGCTCCTGCCGTCTCCCCGGGGATCTCAGAGCTGCCTGCGCGCTGCCAGAGCACGCTCCCGACCTGACGGGCTTTCCGCCGGCACCTTTTTCGCCCGGGTTAAGTCGCCGGCTGACCAGCGCCGTGCCCGGGGCGGCAGCAAGGCGCGGGGTGTTCCTGCGCGTGTTCGAACAGCGTGCAACTCCCAGCACAAAAAAAAAAAAAAAACAAAAAAAACCCGCAGATTTTGGCCGACAAGAGCGGGACCTGTGCCTCAGGGGCCTCCTCTGCATCCCTTACAGGCCAGAGGTCCCTTTATCCGGGTGAGTCCTGTCACTGCAGGTGACAGGGGAGCACGGCCACCGCCCTGCCCAGCAGCGAAAGGTTTTAAAACTCCCTGTGAAACAGACGAATAATGTTCACAAGCTCATCTGGTCATCTACGTGCAGAAGCTACCCAAAGCTCTCCTGACTGGGGGCATGCAATTATTTTATTATGCGAAAGCACACAAATGTTGTCCTGTTTCCTGTGTTCTCCACTTGCCTTGAATTTGCCTGATTTTGCATGATTAATATGAAATAGCACTAATTGTGCAGATTGCCTTTCCGGAAGGATCATTCCAGGAAACTTATTATGGAGTCTGTTGACCATTTTTTTTCTTCCAAGGGTTTTTCTAGCAGTTGAATAGGCCACCGCTGTGGTTACCACGAGAGGAATGTCCACCTTTCCTTTGGCAGCAGTGGATTGTATTTGCATCTGAGAAATTCTGAGGGACTGTTTTGGTTTTGTTTTTGTTTTTTTTTTTTTTTTTCTTTCAGGACGATAGACAGCAGCATTACTTCTCTAATTAGATGGTGGCCTCAGCTTCTGAATATGTCGAGCAGAATACCATCGGGGCATTTTATTCTATTACTGCATTACCGCGTTCTCCCTCCGGCCAAGTGGAAGATCAAGAGATCACCTATGGAGGAAACTTATCTAATCTTAAGACTATACAATCAAGACCACTGGGGTTCGATTCTTTGTGGGTTTCCTTCTCTAGACCTTCCCTGCTCACAGAAGACTCGTGTCCCGGGAGGAAAGACAGGACGTTGGCGCGCCTGCCCGCTCCGAGGCCACGGCAGCACGAGGTGCAACAGCACCGAGAGCTTCGCTCCCTTTTCCTCCTCGCTCCCACCATGAGGTACTGTAAGAATTTGGTGGATATGCACAAGTTAGCAAAAATAATTTATAACGTTTTTGTTGAAAAAACCCCATAAAATAAGCGTACTGCAGGCACTGCCTATAGATTTTTCGCTTCTGGGGAGTCGTCACCACCACCGACACCAAGCTGTTTGGATGAGGCTGATGCACAAGTCCTTGGCCCAGCCCTGAAGAGTTTTATTCAACACCTGGTTCATTGCAACATACATTTGAGATGCTGTCAGGTGTTAAAAACCTAGAAAAAACCCAAGTTTTCACTTTGGGCAAAATCAACAGGTCCTGACGAAGACTATCCCCCTGTGAACCAGCCATTCAGGTAAAAGGCATGAATGAGCCCTTGATTAATTACATCAGCTTCTGCCGGAGCCAGGAGTTTGAGGAAGACAGCTCTGGTGACTGTAAACAGTGCAGAGAGAAGTTTGCTTTGTCATGGCTTTTGCCTGTATCTCCGAAGCGAAAAGCAGATGGATAGAGAGCAAATTTGGATGCCAAAACAATACTGTAAAATGAAAAAAAATCAAGTAGGACAGTTAATGTACTACTATAATCATGTGCTCATTACTCCTAGCAGCAGAAGGGAGATCATTTCATCTCTTTGTGCCTTCCTAATTAAAAAAGGAAAGGGGAAAATGATGAGGCAGATAGAGCAGATTTTCCCAGTAACTGGTAGGACTCATTGAGCCGCTGTTCCACTTTACGCAGCCTGGAAAAAAGAAAGCCAATCTGCAAAGGGGGGAAGGAGAGGCAGCTGCCAAAGAAATCAGTCGAGAGCTCTCGGCTGTACCATCCAACTCGATGTGGAGATGAAGAGGAGGCGACTGGACCACCCACAGCAACAGATGGAGTGTTGTGCCTCTGGTATTTGGCACCCTGCCTCCCTGGAAATGCCTGCTTCTGCTGTCGTTTCTGGAAGTGTTTAGAGAGATGAGGAGCTTGTTCCTACCAACGGGATGGGAAAAAGACATATCCTTCCCTCAGAGGAGCTGTAGATGCTCGGTGTTTCCAGGCTGGATGTCCTCCGTCCCCTGTCCCGTTCACCGGCTGAAGTTCTGGAGAACAACTAACAACAGCCCTTCCCTCGGCCGGGCGTGCTGGGGGCCAAGGGCTCGCAGCCCTTGCTGGAGCGCTCCAGGCACCAAACACCAATTCAAAGTTTCCACGGGTGCTCCCTGCTCCTCTGCTACCATTTCGTAGCCTCTTTCCTCACCTTCTTCTGGCGGCAGCTCGCTTCGGCAAGGGAGAAGGCGGTTCTAGGAGGATATATCCGATGAGCAGCTGATAAATGCGAATTGTTATTTAAAATCTGGTTTTGAGATGTATCATCAGTTCTGGGAAGTTTATTTTCATGTTTTCTTTGTTTTGAAAAGGAGACCGTCCATCTGACAAAGGTATTTGACACTACTATTCACGATCTTCCCTACCCAGGATGAGAAAACACCACCTCCAGTTTTGCCACTCCATATGCTACAACTTGTCATCTTTCAAAGAAATAAACAACCTGGCCCCTGCAGCAAGGCGAGGGCTCTTGTTTACTGCGAAGCATTAATAGACAAGAGTGGCTGCAGCACCCTGGCACTACGGGGTGTAAGATGTCCCACTCCCAGTGGGATTCCCCACCGAGTACCAAGAGGGCTGTACGAAGAGCTGCCGCCCGCCACTTCCCTGCCCGCAAACAGGTGAAGCACTTGCCAGCGCAGAAGGGAGACATGGACCTTCTGTCCTTCTTTCTTCTATTATCAATAAGAAGAATATAAAATACGGGTGGATGTCCATCTCCAGAACCTCCGTGTCTGTCAGGAGCGCCTGGGGAGACCAGGCTCTGCTGCTGTTTTTCTTACAGCTCTACATCCTGGGATGCTTCTGGAGTAGCAAAGATGAAGGCTTCTGGACCAGTATGGGCACGAGAGGGGAAAAGAGCGCAGAAAGCCCAACTGACACTACTCCTGAGAAACACAGAGCACGGCTACACGTTCCTACTGGGAACGGCTTCCTTCACCATGTGCGGAGTTGAAGTAGGTAGGACTGAGAAATAACTCATTTCCTC